CCCCTGACGTCATCTTCTGAACACAGCCTTGCATCCTATTTTTTCAAAAGCGCACTTTTTTTTACTGTATTCGGTTTTTGTATGCAAGGTACATGTACATAATATTCACTTTAAACTTTTGTCATGAATAGTGACAGCTTTCTGTTTAAACCAAAACGAAGCTCGCACGCTACACGACACCTTTATAGAAGGCCAAAGTTGAAAGGCATACCGCTTACAAAGATTAGTTTAGTGTGTGACGTTGATTTGTTCTCAACAACAGTGGTCCACACTTGTTCTGATACAGACGGGTATGTTAACCACCCTGGGTGCTAGTGCATGTGCATGTATTTTTGCCCTTGTACATGGTGCCTTGTGGGGTACCGGAACAATGAAAGGTACCCCACAAGGCCAGTTTTGATCCTCGTGGGGTACTAAAGTGGTACCCCACAAGAACTTCACGAAATAGATTTTTCAAATTTACTCAAAAATGAGGAATTTTCAAGTGCAATTCATCAGTCGCAGATTGAAGTGTTTTATATAAGGGACATACTGTCGAAATTTCAACCCGTGAAACTGAATTTGGTTGAAATGGCAGTGATTAGAATTTTTTCCGTGTTGTGTGGCAGTTTTGTACACGAGGACAACGGAAATACCTCACAAGTAGTATATGTAAAGGTGTGTGCATTGATGGAGTACCGTTTCGAAATATGTGCCTTTGGAGACCCAGAAGAATGGGTTGAATAGTCTCCACAAGGAATTTCTGAAGTAACCCTAACACTCCTCAATCCTTCACCTGTTGAAGGACTGAGGAGTGTCAGGGTTAACGTGTATAGGTCTCCACAAGGATTTCACAAAACTGATATTTGGAAATTGATCAAAAAGGAGAAATTTTTTATTAGTGAGAAAGTGTCGCAAATTGAAGTGTTCCATATAAGGGACATTCGGTCGAAATTTCAGTCCACGAGAGTGATTCATGTTGAAATGGGAACATTTGAAAACATCGTTTCGCACAATGCGGAAGATCTCCGCAGATAGATTTTGATGGAAGATCTGCGCAGATAGACGTACATATGCGTGTACATGTACGCATACCGTCTAGCCATGACTTCTGTCCACAGTGCACCCACTGCCAAGAGGACCAATTCGCAAGAGGCCATCCCAATGCTGTCATGTTCAAGGGCCTGATCTTAGACTCTGAATAATGTAGACCTTGCTGTATCATGAATCCTAGCATATTTATTTCTTTTAAGGTTATGAAAACTGTTAAAGTCCTTCACAAATAACAAC